AATGGGAAAGGGGGGGACGGGGGACGTCTAAAAAATACCACATACCAGCTATCCTGGGCACAACATCCACTCAGACACCCTGAATTGTCTATTTCCCAGCAAGACTTTGCTTCTAAGGACACAATTATTTTCGAACTCCCAGCCAGCAAACATTTGCCTGAAGAAGATATATTTTGAGGAACAGATCCATTGGGTGCCCCTTCATCTACTCTTGAACTCTCATCTCTTCTCAACGTCTGGGAAATCTTGTATTTTGGATCCCATTCCTGGCATCTTAATGGCAGATTGTTACGCCACTTTGTTACCCGTTATTGTGAGCAATACCTGTATTTGCGTGCTTCAACGAAGCTGCTTTAGATCCATTACTTAAGAAGGACTCACTCGACCATGAGTTCCACAAAAATTTCAAACCCATCTTAAATCTAAGATTTGTCTCTAAAGCAAATGAAAAGGTGGTAGCTCTACGCCTTGCATCAACATCTTGTCAATAACGAACTACATAAGATGTTTCAACGGCTTATCGAACGGGACATAGCACTGAGGCAGCTCTCACTGGTATTCATAATGACATTTTACTCGCAAGGACGACAATATATGGGTGATACTTGTGTTACTGGATCTTTCCGCCGCTTTCGACATGGTAGATCATGACATACTACTTGGTAGTATGAACATCAATTCAAAATTCGTGTTTGCCGTTGTATTGGGATCAGCATTAAAAGCCACCAAATGCAATTTACCTTCAAATGTAAAGTAGCTTAAAGTAGTTAGTGTCATGAAAGATATGGCAAATTGATGAAGCTTGTGGCTCTCGTGAAATATTCTGCTAGGGAGAAGCTCTGATCTGGGATATTAGCCTAGGGAACACAATCCCTATAGTCTAGAAATAAATTGCTGTAAACTGTGAAGCCATGATAGATTCAAATTTCCTGTCGTTACACCTTTCGCAAGTTATATTGGCATTTTGTAAGCTATTGCTGTTCATACCCCAGCAAAAGGGATTCACTAATCATCCTGGTTTTGTGGAGTTATGTAGGTACTAGTCGTTGGTCAAACAAATCTTTGCTCAAAGAGATCTCATGAGCGTAGGATCCATATACGAACACACGCGCGTGTGTACATGTACAGCTAAAAAGAAAAATATTTTTAATTTCCTGAAAAAGCATTTTTTATCATTAAATGGCGATGACTGGTACATTTTTTGCACTATTGGTGTTTGTGTTAGTATTTCGTTTATCCTTTTATTATTCCATAATTCTGACGGCTTCACTAGCCTCTATTTTTCACATAAACACCGAATCTTGCAAATAACACCAGGGATGGGTAAATAAACAACTACAGTCTCGGACAAAAATAGTTGGGACACTTAATGCAAACGCCCTTTTTTCCCTTCCCGTGCTTCCCTGTTCCCTCCCAACGTTGTTTATTGCGATTCAGTGACCAAATCATGTACACCAACATTGAGGGGACGAGAAGACACAAAAATGTTCCAACAATTTTGACTGAGACTGTAGCTATTGCATTTTCCTGCGTATTAATTTACTGAAAATGTCCTGCAAAAAACTCCCCCAATGGCATTTATAAGTCTCTAAATTTAACAATTTTCTGGGGGAGTGTGCCCCCAGACCCCCGTACAATGGGCTGCCTTCATCTTTACAACTTTTCTCCCCTCGTGCGTACACCTTCAGGCTCTCTACACCAGTACGAAACGCGTGTATAAGGATACTTGGATGGTGATGTATGACTTTTGGCACACCTGAACTCAGTTGGAGAACCGGTACTGCCAAGGCCACGACTGAGACAAAGCTACCTCTACCTAGCGCAAACGCCTTTTAACTTAGAGTAAGTTGATGTTTTCTTTTGCTTGTTTAGTTGGCGAATTGCGGAATTGATCACATTTTAAAAGAAAGGCATAAAAGTCACCAAAAGAGCACTAAACTAAAAGTTCATTACAAGATATATTGTAATGAGAACTCTTAAGTGGAAGGTATTATGATAGACTGAAATTATGATAACTCGAAGGAACAGACTGGGGACTTAATTCTCCAGTCAGTAAATGATGTGACTAATTGTAAGAAATGAAAAAGAGAAACTTTTTTTTCAGTTTTTATAAAGTATATGCTGTTAATCCAACCCAGATTGAATCCAGGGATCAAAAAAATTCACGTGATCAGGGTTCAAGTTATGCAATAATTTTGGGATCAGGGATCAAAATTTAAGGCCTAAATGTGGGATCAGTTGGAAAAAAATATACCTTCTTACGACCCTGCTAACATGTAGTGCTTGCACGTGAGCCAGCATCATTTTACAATTTTTATCATTTTATCATTTATTTATGTCCTATAATTTTAAAAAGTTGATAATTAAAGGAGTATTTTAGTCTATGACAGTGGAATGTAAATAGGTCATATCTAGATAAAGATTCATCTTTATTATTATTATTATTATTTTATTTTTTAACAAATAAGTCAGGTAATATTTTATTCCATTTATAGTGATTGTAAAGCACTTTGGATCAGTAAGAGAAAAGTGCTATATAAATGTATATATTATTATTATTATTATTATTATTATTATTATCTGCTGTCTTGACAAGGACCGTGACCAGGAACTCTCTGAAATGTTAAGCATATAACTCTTTCGTATTGCTAGTGGCCAAAGGTCAGTTTGAATATAGGGTGACGTCCTTTTTCCCTGCAAGCAGAGGCCCTTTCAAGGAAGATTGAACTGCCTCTGCTCGTAGGTACATCCCTTTGGAAAAAGTTGCAGCCAGAACTCAAGGTAGTAAGCGAATCAGTGTTAAGTTTTGAGCGTCAACTTAAGCGACTTTTTCTGGACGCCTCCTTTGGTTAATCAATTATTTTTCGAGTTTTTAGATTTCTGTGTTTAAAATTATTGCAGCTGTAACATTGACTCTGAAAAGCCCTGTGGGGACGGGCCAATAAAATATGTATGTATGTGTAAACAAAAAAGAAGTCTGCGAGTAGCTGGCAGAACTTTAGCAGCCTGGGACCAAGCTCCGCATTGAGGGAAAAAGGCAAAAACTGGGTGAAATGAAAAATAGCAAACCCAACTGTCGGCTTCCTTCCTTTATAGCCTTTTTTTTTCCGCTCACGCCGATTTTTTTTCCCTTTTTTCCCCCAATGTGGAGCCTGGTCACTCCTGGCCTGGTCCCACGCTAGAATTTTAGTGCCTGGGATACGTTGTAGACTAGCTCCCCGTGGCTTCACGGTTGACTTCTGAAAATCAAGAGAAGAGACTTTTTTCAACGAGGCAGCAATTCTATTTAAAATTGGTGTCATGCACGCACTGTGAAAACAAGGAAGTTCAAATTGCTCTGTTTTCGAAACGAAACATGCTTCGGGTCAAGAAACTTGTACAAAGATTTTTTTTTAAATTTATCTTCAATCTAGAGTAAATAAGAATTCGTAACACCTCGCTATTTTGACTTTGCAATTTGATGACGCTACCGTGAAAACCATCAATAAGCAACGTGCCGCCTACGCACCAGCAGTGAAAGGAATCCGAGCTGATTCCTGCAATCCATCGGTAGCAAAGGGCAGAAATTGAAACCATTCCATCCACCCAATCCGTATAACACTAGATCATACTAAATGTCGAGATAAGGACTCGTCATGAAAAGTGATACAAATAACAGTGCCAGTAAGAAGTGTCACATTACTTTCCAACTCCAGAGGCATCAAACATTAGCTACGGGACAATAGCTTTTTGCTGACATTCTGTGTTGGCGGACAGGAGGACAGTGGCAGCAAACTTGAGAACGAGGAGTATGAGCAGAAAGTTTTTTCTACTTCGTTGGATCGATAACCTCAGGGTTCCAACACCACGAAATGAAAACGCCCTCGAAAGATCGGGGCACGTCAAGGACATAATATTTGCTAATAACTTGACGAATGCAAGAATAAAAGAACTGCTCCTTCATGCGTTCAGTGATCATCTGGATGCCGACGATCTGCCAAGCTAAGCTTGCACTATGAAATAGTAACTTTTAAAAGAAGGTTTTCGATGAATCCCGATGTATTTGTAATCATGTAAATTTCAGTTTGTATTTCTACAAACCGGTGGGGTCCACGACGCGGCTTCAGGAAGTGTGCTCTGGAGCAACATCACGTACTGGATTAGATAACAATCATCGATCAATATAAAGTATAGGCTTAAATTGCATTGTCTCATTCAATGAGTAAGTATGCTAATGTATCGCTATGCAGGGATGGTAAAATTTAACTCGAGGATCAAGGCTTTGCCTTGTTTTTTCCCTGCTGTTCTTCTAAATTTGTTCATATTAAGGGGGTTGAAACACAGCGTGACAAAGTCACAAAATAATGACGTTGCTCTAAAAATCTTATTCGGATTTCGTACCCACGTCTTGCACCTTTGAGCACAAATGACTCCCCATTTTTAGGCCAAAGGCAATATGCTAAAGTAGTATATGCAGTTTTATATTTTGTTATCTAAGAAGCTGTACATGTATCTCTCCGTAGTATGAAGCAATACTATTATGTACTTACGTCAATGTGTACAACATGACCACATTTTTTAAAGTATTCGTAAAACTGATAAATTACTGTTTCTCTTTTTTACAGGTTTCTTCAGCCCTTTCAAAGTGAAGACAGGGAAGTCGTGTTAATTGGTAAATGCTGGAATGCTGATGTTGACAAGTGGGACAATGAGCTTCTTAGAATACAAAAGAAAGATGATACAAAAGGTAATTACGTAGTAAGCTTCATTCTTAGATCCAGTTGTGCGGAGGAATTTTTGATACCTGTGTTTGGGTACTGTATTTTCAAAGTTGTTGTCTGCAAATAACAAACAAATTTTTAAATCTTTTTAAATAAAACTGACATGCTTTTGCGTTAATAAATAATAACCTTTTCTTTGAACGTGACAAAGATGACTTTGTAGCCCTGAAGAGGGTGACAGAAGAAATTATTTCCAGCAAGCAGCTAGCTTCCCAAGTTGCTATACACAACTTGTGCAACATGTCCGGAGGAAAATCTCTGCCTCTTGTATACCTTATGTGGCCGACACCAAACAAAGGATACAGTGGCCCCCATATTCTGAAAATATGGAGTAAAGTAAGAGAAGTCTGTGCAGCAAACAATGTTAACCTTATTGGTCACTCTGTCGACTCAGCCGGTTTTTCCCTCTCAGCATTGGCTCAGCTCATGACACCGACAAAATCTGCAGTTGCTGAAGGTATAAAATACTTAGGCCTTGGAGTTCCAGAAGAAAAATTTCTTTCGCCTGATTTTTGGAAACTCCCAGCAATAGCCTATGGTGATTACGACCATTTGAGAAGAACATTTCTGCGTGTACTTAAATATGACACTCGAAACCTCACATTCTACAAAGATTCACGAGGAAGTGTTGTAGCCACAATCAGTCACCTTCGTGAGCTCATGCGTGTATGTAGCCAGATAGATCAAAGTTTACCATTTTCAGCCAACGACCTTCTCCTTATAAGTTTCTTTGATCAGTGACCAGACACAGCTAATAGAATCTTCACTCTCAAGGTTGCCGAAATGCTACACAAATACGTCAAGGGGTCGGAGGGAACTTGCCTCTTTATTACTGCTGTACACTTCCTAACTGAACCTTTCTTCAATGCAAGCTATGGGTCTCCAGAAGATATCCAAAAGGCTCTTTCTACTGGAATTACCATCTTACGACTCTGGAAGAGATACCTAGAGATTAGGAAAATGAGACTCCATTCCCAAACAAATGCAGCTAAAATCAAGGAAAGGCGAGGAAATTTTATCACATATGGAGCTTACACGACATCAGAACTACTCTTCTCTGCTGGCACCCTACACTCCTTGGCAATGTATTTACATTTCAAGCATCTGGGGCCTGACATATATTCGCCACAAAGGTCCAGAACAATTGCTGCAGAGAAGATCATTGAACAGCTGCAGGGGAAAACGAATCAAATCCAGTCTCTAGACACATCACCCACTTATGCTGATACGATCAACAAGACCAAAGATGTATCGTTCGTCATAGAAGCCCTGTCCAAGTTATCAACATATGAAGGAGTAAAAATCCCTGCAACAAGCAACAGCAAATTGTCCCACTTCCAAGCCTAGCAAAGGAACGACACTCCGTATAAGTACCCATGTACCTACAAGGAGTTTTTATTCAGACAACGTTCAATGCACAGGGCTGGTGTACATCAGGCCCAGGAGTTCGTGCAAAAATATCTGCCCCAAGAGTTTGAGAGTACGTTGTCAGTAAATGATTTTTGGGACTTGCCTTACACTTTTAGAAAACCCGCTGGAACAGTTATCGTATAAGATCAACCACCATCTTATAATAAGTTGAAATTTGTCGAAGATGTGAATTTCCTAAACAGCGTAGCAAATGAGGTAGCCATGGAAAACCTACTTGAGGAAAGTGAGGAAAGCGACTTTGTAAAGCATTTTACACAACTTGACGAAATCTACGATGACCAGGAAATGAATTTCTCCACGACCGACATAGTAGAATCAGATGAAGACAACGGACGCAATTCTGAAACATCTAATAGCAGAAAATCAAAATGGTACATAGAGAAGGATGGTTCTCTAATCCATATTAAGAGGGCTTTGAAGTTGTTGATTCCAAGAGAGTTTATCTCAAAAGAAAGAAGCCGCAGACACTGGGTTGCTGATTCCCTCCACACTTCTCTGGTACCCATTGACCCATCTCATACATACATACATACATACACTTTATTGATGTTCACTAAGTGGGCTTTTCAGCTCAATAGAATAAAAAATACAAATTTATATAAATTAATTAAGAATGTAAGTACAATAATATTATAATTACAAAAATATATCAACTTAATAAAACATTTGCAAGATGACGCCTAAAATTCCTGGGGCATTTTAAGGACTTAATATTATCATTCAAGGAGTTCCAGAGTTTGGCTTCTCTGAAAGCAAAGGAGCGCTGCCCTGTTGACAGGCGACTTAAAGGTATATCCAAAACACCAGATGATCGAGTTTGTCTATTATGGACTTGAGAACGTGATTTAAACATATCAGCAAGATAGCCTGGAACAAGCTTGTTAATACATTTGTGCATCATAGTAGCGTCATTTAGAATGAGTTTCTCTCTAATAGGAAGCCATTTTAACGATCGCAACCCATCCGAAATATGGTCATACTTTCTTAGTCCCAGAATAATTCGTCCAGCAAAGTTTTCGACTTTTTGTAACTTGTCAATACTGCTGCTGCTGGTATTACTCCAGACAGTTGAACAATATTGGAGTTTACTAAAGACAAATGAATTTATTACTAACAAAAGTGTTTTCCTATCTAGGAGATGCTTGATTCTGTTAATTTGGCTCAATTTAAAAAGGCATTTCGACGCAGTCTCAGTGATATGTTGGTTATGACTGAGGCGTGTGTCGAGAAGAACACCCAAGTCCTTAACGACAGGCACAGGTGTTATTTCCTTGTCAAAAAGTGTTATACTGAATGATGACAGTTTCTT